TTGCATAAATTTTATACTTTTTAAGTATATTAAAGTTTAAGTAAATCTAAAAACTGAAAAAGTTGATTAAAATATTTAAAAATATATAATAATATGAATTGAAAATTTAAAAAATTATTTTTGAAAATTTCATATCAAATAGTGACACTTTAATCAATTTGGTGAATTACAGCTGACTTTTCTTTATTAAATTTATTTATTATTTTAGTTTTTGAGCTAGGCTTCGGCTATGTTTGGCATGAAGGTTTGGTTTGGGTTAGGTTGGGGTGGAGTTATTTTGGTCACAAAAAGATAAAATAGGTTTTTTAGTTCAATAAGATAAAATGCCACATTAAAATTATAATCATTTTATTTTTTCTTTTACAAAAGTTAAAAAAGTTAAAAAAATTTATTCCAAACGAAATTTTTTAACCTTAATTTAAAATAATTAAAAAGTTAAAAAATCAAAATATCAATGTTCTTCGAACGAAGGCTTAGATAACCTTGGAATTCTTGTTTTTTTTCTTCTTTTGTACAATGCTGTCAAAAACACACCCTAAGACAAGACATCTATTCCTTCCATCCATGTTTGTTGGATGATATAAAACATTCCTTAAACCACCAGGGGTTGTGTTTGGTAAGATTTTTCAAAATTAATTTTATCTTTACATTTTAATTCTATATTTGGTAAGAATTTTCAAATTATGATTTCAAATCAATTTCAAAACACATTTAGAAAACATGTTTGGTAAGTCAGATCTACGCGGTCGTTCGCCCGGAATAGTACTTTTTTTAAAGTCGGATGTCTGGTCGGTTGATCGGATCAATACTTTATTTTATTTTTTTCAATTGTCAATCGCCACCTGTTATTTGGAAAAAAGTATATATATATTATATTTATTTTTGATATTTTTTAAATATACAAATTATTTTTTTGAGTTGAATTTTAAAAAGAGTTTGGTTATGAGTTTTGAATAGAATTTTCAATAGAGTTTTGATTTGTGTATTTGATTATGAGTTATAAGTTTTTGAATTAAGTTTTGAAAACTCTTTTCTCATTTTATATGTCACATCGAAAATTCAAAATTCAATTGAACATTTTTTTCAAAACTCATAACCAAACAAATTTTGTCTTTTTAAATTATAATTCCAAAACTTACAAACTCAAAATACAACTCTATTCTCAAATTATAATTCTAAAACACTATCAAACGCTACCTTAGTTTGCATGTCATAATTTTTAATTTAGAATGGTAGAACATATAGTTTAGAATGGTAGAAAACATTTGGTTTGTGTTTGTAGAGTAGTTTTTGAGATAAAAAAGTACAAAAGCTTGTTTGGTTTGCCTTTTTCTAAATATTCTCTATAAAATAATTTTGGTTTTTTTTGTAGAGTAGTTTTTGAGATAAAAAGTACAAAAACTTGTTTAGTTTGTCTTTTTCCAAATATTCTCTCTAAAATAACTTTGGTTTTTTATGTAGAGTAGTTTTTGAGATAAAAAAGTACAAAAACTTGTTTGAACACCTTTTCGTAGAGTAATTTTTGAGATAAAAATACAAAAACCTGTTTGATTTGCCTTTTTTGCAAACATGTTTCAAAAGTAATCCTGAAAATTGGATAACCAAACACATTTCTAAGAGTTTTTTTGAAAAAATCTATTTGGTTTAATTATTCTTGAAAAAGTGTTACAAACATTTCTCCCAAAATCAAACCAAACAAGGTCATAAACTTTCCCATTCGTGTGGATTTCTCAAAGTATAATTTTAGTGTCCAAAATATGATGTACAAATCTCACACTACCTTGAGATGAGAAGAACAATGAAAACATTACAAAAGTAAAAGGAGAACAACAGGGCATATAACATTTGAAAGAGATGTACAACACCTACACCACTCTTGATGCATCAACAATGTAGTTAGCATAGCAAAGGTTGATAATCATGGTCTTTGATGCATCCACAAATTAGGGTTACAAGTTTAGGCTATGTATGCTAGGCTTTCACAAACTATGGTATCTCCTTGTTTAATGATTGACACAAACCAAGGTTCCAAGTTTAGGCTATCTACAGTTTTGTGAAGCGGCAACTTGATTGAAGCTTGGAATGACCCGATTTTCTTAAGCCATCTAATTCAAATTGTTTTTGTTGGACTAATTTTACATAAGTGAATGACAAAAAAGGATGAAGAATGTCTATGTCAGATAAAACATACTGAAAGTATCCTTATTTTATTTTTTTGATCAGAAAAATATCCTTATTTATTGACATTTATATTATATTCACTAGTAATGTTTTAACTCCAACAACATGAGTCTAGTTAATTTTATTTTTAAATATTTTTTTAAAAGAATTTGACAATATAATTTTTAATTTGGTTGGGGTTTGGATTAAACTTGTCCACTTGAATTAATTCGGATAATACTTATGCAAGGGTTCTCACATACTACTATATTACTATTTGGATTAAATTTTACTCTTTGATACACATAAACAAAATTTCATATTAGAGTTTCATATTTTGTAATTTTTAAGATTTTTTTTTTTATTATAGTGTTTAAAGATCAAATATATCAGTTTAAGATAAACATTTTTTTTTTTTTTTTGATATTTGAATTTGTGCAACCCAAATATAACCCAAAGTTATTTGAGCTAAACTCAAAGTCGAACTTGTCCAAACGAGTTGAGAGAGAGACTGGTGTCAATCTCAGACTCATATTTCAATTGATCTCTCCATACTTCAAATTGAGTCGAGACGTTCCCTCAACTGATCAATTTATATTTGAATTTGGACAATTTAAACTTACACTAAATTCTTCGAGTTGAACCCAAATTTAAGATTTTTTAGGGTGTGTTTCTTAAATCTCTTAATTAAATATAGTCTTTCCGTTTGAGAATTAGGTATTTTAATAAATTTTTAATTTTTTAATTTTTTTTATGAGATAAAAATAAATAAATAAATTACATTAGCCCCTTGTGGTTTGATGAAAAAACTAGAAGCCCTTTAGAGCATTTCCAACGGTTCAGTAAAAATTTCACCAAATTTGAATAAAAAAAGGTAATTTTCTCAATCTGATACGAGCAGCTCCAATTGTTCTACTATAGCGTGCATCAAAGCGAAGAGGACGTCCGGTGGATCGACCAGCCGGTCGACCGGGTAGGCAACTCAATTTATTTATTTCTTTTTCCATGCTTGAATTCATGAATAAGGTAGTTGGTCTCGAATTCCTCTCCTATGACAAATTCAATCAGGAAATGCTAATTCTGCAAATGAGACAAAAAGGCTATATGGAACAAAAAACACCAGGACTTACTTCAACAAATTAATTTGTTAGTGACTCTTTATCATTGAATGAGTGCAAAAGATTGTAAAAGAAAGATCACAAAGGTGAAAACCCCAAGTCTCTCTTAGGTAGCCGAGAAAAGGAAAGGAATTGGAATGAAAAAACTCACAGTATACTTAACTGATAAAAAAATTTGTTATTCTTCAATGGAATTTGCATGCAAGCAATTTTTTTAAGAACATATTGTATATGTGTGTATATAAACATGCATTCATATACAGACACAAAAGATTCAAGAAATTCAATAAAGAAAGCTCTTAAGACTAATCAATTTCTTGGGGAAGAACAAATAGTTACCCAAGTTTCGATTGTGGGATAACATTATCATCATCATCGTGAGTAGTCAGTTTGTTGAAGGGTAGAAAATCAACATTTCCTTTGTTAGATCCCTTTGTTTCAGTAACATTTCAACCAGTTCGCAGGCCAATCAAAAATTGAAGCAAATTGAAGTAGATCAGACGTCCGATCGGTTGACCGATGGGCCCTACTCCAACGTTACTGAACAGTAAAATGGTGAAATCTCACGTGAATCCTCAATTTAATGAAACTTTTGCTCCGTTCTCAGTTTGATATCAGTTTGGTAAAACTATTAGAGAGAGAAAAAGTGACTTTTTTCATCAAATTCAAATTTGATACTCAATCTGATGCAACATTGGAGATGGTCTTATAGTTTCATTTGCACTATTTAAACCCTCAAAACTTCATATTACAGTGCAATTTTAAACTTACTTGACCGAAGAAACAAATGGGTGTTTTGGGAAGATGGTTAAAAATTGATTTTTTTATTTTTTTTAAAAAAAGTATAAAAAATATAAAAGATGATATGGGGGTTTTTAACCCCAAGGCCTGTGGAAGCTTCAATATCTCAATCTGAATTTTTTAATTTTTTATTTAAAAAAAACTCAGCATTTATTAATTTGGTCAAAATCCCCTGATTAGCATTTATTAATTTTTTTCAATCCATGTGTCTTTCCACATGCCTACATTTATTGATTTGGTCAAAATCTCCTTATCAACATTTAAAATCCCTTCATACAAATAATTATAGATACAATCTGTGTATAGTTACTGCAATACCCTTTTCAACTTCTCTTATACACTATGGTTAGTGATAAAATTATTAAATTATTTTTATAAAAAATCTTAAAAAGCATAATTTATATATTAAAAAAATCTAAAATAAATATAAATATCTATAATTAGGAAAATGTGTTGGATCCCCAGTGGGGGTGCTGGGGGTCCTTGCTGATTGGCTAAAATATATATATATATATATTTTTAAGACTTCAGCCACTGGCAGTGTGCCATGTGGCACTGGGGGGTGCTGGGGGTGCCCAGTCACTGGGGTCCTTAGCATTACTCCTATAATTATTCCGTGCATAGCACGGGTGATAGGCTAGTTCAAAATAGATTAAAAATTGATATATATATATATATATTTTTAAGACTTCAGCCACTGGCAGTGTGCCATGTGGCACTGGGGTGCTGGGGTGCCCAGTCACTGGGTCCTTAGCATTACTCCTATAATTATTCCGTGCATAGCACGGGTGATAGGCTAGTTCAAAATAGATTAAAAATTGACTTTTAATTTTTACCTGTGTTGTCAAATTAACCCAAAGAGTCAAAAATAACCCCCAAATATTTTACACCTAGTCGTTTGATTTGACCAGTAGACTTGGTCTCTCTCTCTCAACTCTCTCTCTCTCTAAAGCTCACCTCCCATGGCAACCCTAGCCCCAACCCACAACTTCTTGGGAGTCCTCTTTGAATCAAAATGAATCATCAAAGCCCACTCTTGCCACTTCCTCGCCCTCACAATCCTCTTCCTCTTTCCCATCTCTTTCTCTGTCATTATCTACCCAACTTTCCAAACTACTCTCTCTCAATCCCAACCCAAACAAATCCGAATGCTCCCCTCCCATCCAACCCAAATCTCTGATTACTCTCTCCACACCCTAGCTCTCCCCCTCATCTTCATCCTCTTTGTCTCCCTCTTCTCTCTCTACGCAATAAGCACAATCACCTACATCACTTACCACGACTTGTACAGTAGACCTGTCAAATTCGCCTCCGCCATCATATCCCTATTCTATTCCTTCATCACCCTCGTCATCACAACAGTCATCTCTTAAATCGTCGTCTTTATAGTTTTTGCCTCTTTTGTGATTTTGGTGCCCAACTGGTTGAGATTCTAAGCCTTGATGTTGATTACAATTCGAATTATTTTCTGGATTTTTGTGTTGTGGTTTCAGTGATTTTGTTACTGGTATTAGTTCTTTTGCAAGTGAATTGGGCATTGGCGTGTGTGATTGTCGTGATGCAATCGAAATGGGGGTTCGAGCTGTTGTGGCGGAGCACGTATTTGATGAAGGGGATGAGACTAGTTTTGTTGTATTTGATGCTATTTTTTGGGGCTATGATTAGGGTTGTGTGGGCTTGCTTGGGGACTTTCTTAAGCAGTTTCAGTGATGTGTGGAAGTCCTTTTCTTTTGTTCTTCAGATTGTGATGGGTTCGAGTATTATGGCTATGTTTTTGCTTCAGAATTTGGCTTCTAATACTGTGTTGTATTGTATATGTATTGCAAGGCTTTGCATGGTGAACTGGCTAGGGATATTGTTGTAGTAGGTAGACTTTTTGGTATTTCAATCATATCTGCGATAAGAGTTGGCCTTCTACTTGCTCCGGGTGGAGAGTTCGCATTTGTGGCTTTTGGTGAAGCTGTTAATCAAGTTTTCCTCTCTATGAACTAAATATTTTTCTTGCAAATTTTTCTGTCTGATTTGTCCTCCCAAACACATATTAATGTCTACTAATTGAGCGTTGTTGTATAGTTGATGGTTTATGTAGCGAAGCTTTAGGCTTCGTTTGGTAGAGCTTTCTAAATATGATTTGAGAGTAGGAGTTGTATTTTGAGTTTGTGAATTTTGGAATTATGATTTGAGTGTAGAAAATTTGTTTGGTGAAAGAGTTTTGAATTGAGTGGAGAATTTTTGATGTGACATATGATATTTTATACAAAAACTTACAACTCATATTCAAACACACAAATCAAAATTCTATTAAATCGCACAATTTTTTTAAAAATTTGGAGACTATTTTTTTTGAATATATAAAAATTAACATGTGCCAAAAAAAAAAAAATTTGCACTATTTCGGTCAACCGGCCGGACGATTAGTGGGACATCCTGTGGGACGACCGGTTAGGCCAAATTTGAATTTTTTTTTTTTTTGAAAATCGCGCTTGAGACAAAGTTTTCTGTAGAGTTTTGGAAATACAGTTTGAAAGTCATATCCAAGCATGAAGTTGGAATGTGTGGATAGAATCAATGTTTTCAAAACCGGACCGGTGAGCGAACCGGAAAAGGGACCGGGTGGACGGGTCACCGGTTCAACCGTCGGG